ATTTCCCAACTGAGCCACTATAAGCTCTAAAAATAAAAGATTTTTATTGAAGAACTTAAATAAATCATTAACTTTTCTGTCACCTCTGCATTTACACCTCTGCACTTCAAATTACTATAGATAGTAGGGATGCACGATATAATCGGCCCCCTATCGGTATCGGCCTGTATCGGCCTTAAAACTGAATATCGGACATCGGCCACCCCACCGATATTTAACCCGATATTTGATCAGCTTCTGAGTTTCTAAACTCTAAAAAAAAAAAATATATATATATATATATACCGTATACTACTACTTCTTTTTCCTCAAAAACTTCTTTTTTACAGACTTAAAAACTTCTAAAGACAAGGGAAAAAATATTGATACATTAAAATATCACAATATCTTCCTATGCTGATACATTGCCATTTAAAAACACCATATCAATCTCTAACTAATGAAATATTGCTATATGTCATCGTTATGCTACGAAATCCCCCGAAAATTTACGAAATTTTGCCATATTTTTATATGTTGATATATTGACGTGGTATCGATCTATTTTACTAACAAAATCTCACAAGAATTTGCAAAATATCACAAGAGTTTGTAACAGAACAATGAAATTTTACGAGATTTTGAAAGTAAAATGGATCGATACCGCGTTTTAAAAAATCTATTTGATATCAGCATATGAAAATATATTTGATTATATTATTTTTCAAAGTGTCAGAAATGGATAACAAAACTGCTTTTTTTTAATTTATTTTCAATGACTAGTTATTTTTGTCCAGCTTTAACATCGGTATCGATATCTGTTATCGGCTACATGAGTTTTAAACATCGGCATATCGGATATCGGCCAAAATCCCAATATCGTGCATCTCTAATAGATAGTATTGATATTTTGGTAAACGTAAGACTTAAATGATTCATTTAAAGTCCTAAACTTGAAAATTTGCAGGGGCTTGTTTCCTTAATGTTTTTTTAATTCTGCCAACTTATCTTTTTTACATTTTGGTTCTTCTGCTCCCATCGATACATTTTTATTAATGTTGGATGCGAATCTAATCTAATAATTTAATGTAAGATGTTCTTTTTTTATTAAAAGAAGCAGAGAAGCTTTTTTTGTTTTTCCTTAGAAAAAAACCCCCCAATATAATAGCATAAAAATGTGCTCAATGTATTTTGCAATGCCTTTATTTATTATTTAGCCTTAAACCATATCCTTAGAGCAGGCCTACCCACAGTTGGCCCCAGAGGGCCGCTGTCCTGCAGAATTTAGACGTTTCCTGCTTCAGCACGGCAATGATAAGAATCAGCTGTGCTGAAGCAGGGAAACCTCTAAAAGCTGCAGGACAGTGGCCCTTGGGGGCCGACTTTGGACAGGCCTGCCCTAGAGTCGGGTAGGTCCCTCTGCTGCTGCCTGATCAGCTGCCATGTTGTTTTTTGGCCCTGGGCTCCCTCCTCTTTGCTGCTTTGCTCCACACAGGCTCACGTCTGTTACTCATGCTGCTTGGTGCTCACAACATGAGGTTTCCTCTGCATGGAGCCAAACACTGCTGTCATTCACTGTTCCAGCCCAGTGCTTTAAAAATATATCTGCCCCTTCATCACTCGATGCTGTAATTCCAGCTTTTGCTTACTTTTAATATATACATGCATGAAATAAGGAGCAGATTATGTGGCTGGAGGTTATATTTCTGACGCCCGGCGCGTCCAGCAGATGTAACGGAGGCTGGTTGTTACGTGGGACCCACTCAGTCATAACTTTGCGTTGTGACTAATCCCCCCTCCGCCTCGGTCCCTCTGCAGTGACGCCGATCAACAGCCCCTGTCTTTTTGGGGTGTTTTTTTTCTTTCAGAGTGTGATTGATGATGCTGTCCACTCACACCAGTGACTCATGTGCGTGGTGTTGGAGGAGCTCTGGTTAGCAAGTGAGAGTGGATGGGATGCTCAGTTTGTCTCCAGTAAAAAAATGAGATGCCATCAACTGTTTTCTACTGAAACACAAGGTTCTGTTTTTCTCTCTGGTTTGGAAATGTCTGTTAGAGAAAGGAAGAAAAGTAAGAGAAACTAACCCTGCTTTCCGTTGTGATGGGTCAGTGAACCAGAGATGGAAAATATGTTTTTACCATGAAAACTAAAGCATACGCTCCCTAGAGATTTTTAAAGTTTTACAGATAAAAGAAAAATACATCTTCACTGGATTTACACATTTTGGCATCAATTTGATCCTCTATGTGCTACTGATATTTTCAATATCACTATTTTTAGACGTTTTAGACTTACCTGCTCACATTGTACGTCTAAAAACCACACCTCGGACTCGGTGCCGAGAGATGGCGCTGGTAGGAATGATGAACCCGACCAGCGCCACCTCTCGGTGCTGGTCGGACTCGTCATTCTGCAAGAACAAGAACTCCCTTGTTTGGACATGTGCAGTGCTCGAGTTTCTGGTAAATCGGCTCATAGACACTCGTAGCTCTACTTCAACTGCAGGATTCGCCCACAAACACCTCAAAACTGCCGACTGAATTTCAAACTCCCGACCTTATGATTCCTGATCAGGAGGTGGTTATTAGAGGCTAATTGCCCCTCGTTACTCCATGTGTACTACATGACGCAGGACGCACAATGAGGCTGAAACTCGGCCCGATCAAAAAAATCTTGCATGACTGGAGAAAATGGCAAAAAATGTTACAGTGTATGGCCGGCTTAAGGTGGTGGAAATGGTTCCCCATCATTCATTTCAGATGCTTCCTTCCCGATTCTCTAAACTGGGATCTCTCTGACTGCTTCTAGCTAACTCCTGCTGACCCAGTCAATATTGATATTGAAAATCGGTCAAATATCAACCAAACAATGAATATCAGAATATACCAGCCTGCCTGTAAAAAAGGCATTATCAGAACGCTCACAGAAACAGTTCACTTCGTCCCATTTTGGTAGATCTTAATGCAACTCTTTGGTGAATAAAAAAAATGGTCAGCTATTCTCATACCTAATGTTATTAAGTTTAGGATATCATATCAGGTCAAAATCACTATTGGTCAATATTCAGATCTCCAATATCAGGATTCTATTGGAAATTAAAAAGTTGTAATGAGACACCCCTACTTAGCCACACTAGTGGGATATATTTTTTAAACAGATGGAAGTCTATAATTATGCTGTAATTAATCTTGTTGAAAGGCAGAGCCATTAAAAATAAAGAAAAATGCATCCTTCCTTATGCAATGTCTCCGTCTTTATTTCCTCATAACCAGTTGGTAGACTGGAATCGCTTTGAAGAAGTTAGTTTGGAATTGATTCAGAATCAGTTTAAAGTTAAAGGGCTACGTTTAGACATAATCTCCCAATCCCTTCATCTTCTTCTGGACTTTATAGTTGAAACTTTATAAACATCCTGCTGCACTTTTTTTTTTTTTCTTTGAGAATTTAGAGCTAATTATCCATACATCCATCCATTTTCCGTCAGGCTTATCCAAAGCGGGGTCGAGAAGGGTGTCTATCTCCAGCTATCTACGGGTGAGAGGTGGGCTCCACCTGGACAGGTCACCAGTCTATCGCTACGCAACGCAGAGACAAACAGGACAGACAACCATTCACACACTCACACCTAACGGGACTTTAGAGAAGCCAACTGACAGTCATGTTTTGGACCGTGTGAGGAAGCCGGAGTACCTAGAGAGAACCCATGCATGCTCAGGGAGAACATGCAGAAAGACCCCGCGCCAGAAATCGGACCAGGAACCTTCTTGCTGCAAGGCAGCAAAGCTAAACACTGCCACACTGAGCAGCCCGTGCTAATTATCTTTAGCTGTCATCTAAAAACAAAATAAAAGTTCAGATGTCGGCCTTTTGCAGTTCTCAAGGTATAAATAGAAATACATCAATAGAAGCTGATCAGTGCTGCTCTATTTTTCTGTTGTTTCTCTAATGGAAATGGTTCAATGCTAGTGAAGCTACAGGATAGCATACCAACATCTGCACATATATATCTGAAAGTGTGCGTCCATGTACGGTACATAGCCAGCACTCAGTAGCTGTTCCCTTTGCATAGATCAGTGCGGCTGGCAGACAGTCCACTCGTGCTTCTGCTGAAGTGCTATTGAGCCCAGGATGTTTTGATGGTGACATTCAGCTCCTCCTCATTGTTAGCTCTGATTTCTTTCATCTTCCTCCTGACTTTACCCCAGAGTTTTTTTTATGTGGCTGAGGTCAGAAAACCATCATTTAAAAAAGGTGGAAGAGAAATCACCAGAAGCTCTGATCATGGCTTTGATGTCAGGTTGATATCAGCAGCACAGATGCTGGAGTAACGACTCGGTCTCAACCTGGGAAACATTTCATCAGAACGTGCTACTATGGAGTCAGTTTTTCTCTTTAATTGTTGCAGGAAAAAACATATTTTGTAAATGGAAATAGAAAATAGAAAATAAAAGGTTTTAATCAAAATATTTATGGAGATAACTTGCTGTTTTTTCAATATTTTTTATGAGTTTAAAAAATTTTAAAAGATGTTATTATTTTTTTTCTCACTTTTAACAGATTTACTTTTAATTAAATTTTTTTTATTTTTCAAAACAATTTTGATCAATTTTGTATTTTCACTTTTACTCCTTTTTCAGATTGAGTTTTATGAATTGCATTCTTATTTTATACAGAATCGGAGAAAAGTTTTCAAAATGAAATCCATGGGTTGCATTTTTTGTTATTTTTAACATTTCCTTTTACCAAACGTGGTGTTTGCTTTCACTGATAATGGAACCAAATTCCCTCCATATTCTCCAAACAGTCAGTATGCCTTTGTCAGCGTCACTCTGAAGTCCTGAAATGCATTTACTAACTTTTTGTTCTTCTCCCTCCCTCCCTCCCTCCCTCCCTCCCTCCCTCCCTCCCTCCCTCCCTCCCTCCCTCCCTCCCTCCCTCCCTCCCTCCCTCCCTCCCTCCCTCCCTCCCTCCCTCCCTCCGGTTCCAATTCCTCTTCAACCGACGTGATGCGACTCCTCAGAGCTTCCAGCTGAAGAAGGTAAATATTGATTCTTCAAATAATCTGCCGTCCTCCTCCCTTTTACTACCTGATGGAGTGTCTGTTGTGTGGATCTTTAGTTTTATGTAGACCTGGGTGTAAACTTTCGGGTTGCACCCGGCAGAAGTTTCCCACCCTTCAGCACACAGCATTACTCCTTTGTAAACAGCTGTGGCCTTGCTTTCCAGCTGCTTATCATGGCCTTCAGACCTAGAGTCAACAGATCCGTGTCGGCTCCACCCTTCGGCCCGATCCTTTAGTCCTGGGCTTAACGTTTGGTTTCATACCTGCAGGTGTGTGACGTGTTATTTGCATATTTCAGGCAAGTCCTTGTGGGAGCTGGTGGTGGAGCAATTTGAGGACCTCCTGGTCAGGATCCTGCTGCTGGCTGCCTGCGTCTCCTTTGTGAGTACCAGCTAATTAAACTGCCAGTGGCTCTCGGCTTATTTCTGCTCCGTCTTCAATCTAAATGTAACCCGCTGGGACATCCGACCCAAATTGGACAATGGACGGGAAATTGCACCCTAATAGACTGCTCACCTAGCAACTTTATTCTCCTCTTAGGAATCTACGCCGCTGTAAAAAAGTATTTATCCCCCCTGCAACATGTTTTTTTCTGCCCTTTTCTGCTCCTCTTTAATCACAGAAATGTTACTATCAGACAAAACAAAGTTCAGCAGCAGTTTTAGTGATGAACATTTCATTTATTTTGGGAAAAGTTACCCAACCGACCTGACTTTATAGGAACAATTTATTTCCCCCCACTTTTAATCATGACCTACCTGTAAATAAAGACTTTTTTATTTTGGTAAAGCCCCTGTCACACCATGGTGATTTAGACCAGCGTGTGCCTGATGTATGGAAGAGCTGGCAAAAAACGCTGGCATAGGTTGGATAAGTTATTGGTATGCTTTTTAAGTCATGAGCACGTTGAAGTACACTGGCACAAGTTGATATATAGCGAGTGTGCCAGCGTATGCCATACGCTGGGCATAAGTTACAGGTAAGTTATCTGATCGTTGACTAACATTAAGTGTAGGTTACTCATATGTCGTGGCGTCTAGCAAATCCAGAACCTATAAGCAACTCCCCCTCCAGACTGCATCCCCATCATAGTGTGAGCATGAAGGTGGGGGGCCGTCCTCCCTGCATTCACTCTCACGACCACAACCAACAAACATCCTAGCAGACATGACGCTCAATCTGCTGCAAATGCAAGTCTTCTTTCTTTCTTTTTACCTATTCTTTTTTTATTTTGGCGGGCTGTAAACAGCAGCCACTTTAATATCACCTGAGGGGAACGGCTTTAACTGATGCTCCGTAATGTGCATGAAATGATGCTTGTGCAGGGGTATGGCAAGCCGTTTTAACATAAATTCGTTTGTAACGCCTTTACGTTCAAGATATCTCAAATTGTTTTATGACTAGACATTTTATGGATTTAAGATATCTCAGATTATATTTTGACTAGTCAAAATACCTATTAGAGATATCTCTAATTACATTCTGACCAGTCGAAATGACGTCAGATTTACCATTAATTTGCATGGAGACGTCCATTTAAGATATCTAAAATGACTTACTGACTATCTGAAATACACATTTCGGATATCTAGAATTAAATTAAGACTAGACATAAAGTGATTTCTAGATATCTCGATTTTAGTTTTGACTAGTCATACTTCAATTCAATTCAATTCAGTTTATTTATATAGCGCCAAATTCACAACACATGTCATCTCAAGGCACTTCACAGTTCAACCAGATCATAAAGTCAAATTGATACAAAGTTCTCCATCTAAGGAAAACCAGTTGATTGCATCGACTCATTGACTCAATACAATCCCTCACACTAAGCATGCTTGTAGCGACAGTGGAGAGGAAAAACTCCCTTTAAACAGGAAGAAACCTCCAGCAGAACCAGGCTCAGTGTGAGCGGCCATCTGCCGAGGCCGACTGGGTTCAAGAAGACGGAAGCAGAGACACAAAAGCAGCTGTAATAGGCGGCCCCGTCCAGGAAACACACAGCCAGGCAGACGAGCTCCGAGCCAGCTCCCATGTCAGAGGACGAAGAAAGCACATCCACCCAGTCACAGCACAGCTGATGTTTCTTTCCAGGATGACGTCACAGCCAAACAGGAACAGACAAGGCAAAGCTACTCTGAGGAAAAGCAGATAGAGCAGAAGGTTAGAGATTGAACTAACAGATTCTGCAGAATAGGAGAATAGAAAGAGAATGAAGCAGAATGATGAAATGGGGGTCCCTATGTCCTCCAGCAGTCTAAGCCTATAGCAGCATAACTATAGAGATAGCTCAGGATAACCTGAGCCACTCTAACTATAAGCTTTATCAAAAAGGAAAGTTTTAAGCCTAGCCTTAAAAGTAGACAGGGTGTCTGCCTCACGGACTAAAACTGGTAGTTGGTTCCACAGGAGAGGAGCCTGATAACTAAAAGATCTGCCTCCCATTCTACTTTTAGAAATTCTAGGAACCACTAGTAAACCTGCAGATTGAGAGCGAAGTGCTCTGTTAGGAACATAAGGAACAATCAGATCTCTGATATAAGATGGAGCTTGGCCATTTAAGGCTTTATATGTGAGAAGGAGGATTTTAAATTCTATTCTTGATTTAACAGGAAGCCAATGAAGAGAAGCCAGGATAGGAGAGATGTGATCTCTCTTTTTAATTTTCATCAGAACTCTGGCTGCAGCATTTTGGATCAGCTGAAGACTCTTAACTACAGTTTGTGGACTTCCTGATAGTAAAGAATTACAATAGTCCAGCCTTGAAGTAACAAATGCATGGACTAGTTTCTCAGCATCACCCCTGGACAGGAGATTTCTAATTTTTGCAATGTTCCTCAGATGAAAGAAGGAAATTCTAGAAACCTCTTTGATATGGGATTTAAATGACAGGTCCTGATCAAAAACAACACCAAGATTTTTTACTTTATTATCTGAAATCAGTTTAATCCCATCCAAATGAAGTGACTGACTAATCAGCTTATTTTTCAAAGACTCTGGTCCAAAGACTATAACTTCTGTTTTGTCTGCATTCAGAAGCAGAAAGTTAAGAGCAGAAAGTTAAGAGTCATCCAGGTTTTTTTTACTTCTAATTAAAGATATCTCAAATGCCACCATAATTCATGATATCTTAAATGTATTTTAGGATAGAAGATATGCAGTTTGGACTAGTGAAAACTCAATTATAGATATCTTAAAGGCAAATAATGACTAAACAAAACAAAATTAAAGATATCTTGAATTATAATTTTGACTATTCGAAATTCCTATTAAGATATCTCTAAATGAATTAAAGATATCTTGAATTATTCAGCTTTTCCATTAAAGATATCTTAAATTGACATTCTGACTAGTCAAAATGAGTAATAATCTTTTTAATGGGCTTCCGGGAGGATCATTCCTAAAAAATTCCTTACTGTCAGTTTAATCTAAAGGAGGAAAAGTTAAATCAGCGTTTGATGCTTTAAATTACAAATCCGTTGTCGTAATTTGCCATATCTTGAAAGAAATCTTTACCAGGCAAAATGTAATTTAAGATATCTTGGATTATTATTCTTCCTAATCAGAATGTAAATACAGATATATTAAATTACCATTCCGGATAGTCAAAATGTGGTTTTGTCTAGTCAAAATGTATTTTAAGTTATCTGGAAAGTAATTATGGATGGTCAGACGAAACCGAATTTATGTCAAAACGGATTGCCGTATAGGTGGGCTGTCATTGGAATTAAGTTCTGGACTCGTTATAAATAAAATTGAAAAACTACATAGAAAGTTCAGTGTATGCCAGCGTTTTAGGAGATTCTGGGACAGAGTCCTAAAGGGCTGAATCGATGAACCATTATTAATCGATTATTGAAGTAATCTTCAACTAATTTTGGTTATTGAATCATTTGCTGAAAGACTATCCTACCTAGTAATTAAGACAAACCTACAAATATTAACTTTTTAGGTTTTTACATTTTACTACTGCATTTCTAATAAAATGTTAATAAAGTTTGTTTTTTATGCCATATATTTCTGTATTTAACAGCATTAATTTAATAAAAATATCCCTTTTTATATTGATTGAGAACATATTCCATAAATCAATTGATTAGTTAAAAAAAATAGATTGGTGCAGCCTTATGGAACCTGAAAACAGCCTCTTCTGATGAGGCTGAAGAAATCCCAGAGCGGATGAGGACATTGGCGTCACAGAGGTGTGGTTTGTAGCATGGCCTCCAGCCAGGGTTTGGTTTCACCACCTGGAGTTGGTGGGTTTTCTCCGGGTGCTGTGGCTTCCTCCCACAGACACGACTGTTAGGTTCATCCTTGCCTTTAGTTTTGACCACAGTGAGTCTCATCCACAGAGTTATAAAAGAGTTTAGAGCAATTCTTAAAACTAGAGAAGCATAGACCTCTGCCAAGCAGCACATTTTTCCCCATGTTGGGACTTACAGCTCAGGGTTTCCGCGAGTCATTAAAATTCATTAAAAGTTATTAAATTACTATTATTTTTTAAATTAAAGCCTTAATTGGCATTAAAATTCATTAAATTAGATTATCGTGGCATTTAAAATACTTTATTAAAAAAAAAAGTTTCCAAAAATAATTTCATCAGATATATTTTATTGCGTTATGTTTGCGCGGACATATCGTAAAGCTGTATGTTCGGAATAAAAGCTCAAGGCGTAGAAAAAGCTAGAGAATTGGAAAATGCAAATTTCAACAAAAGTGGCTGGAAAACGAGAAATTTTGGACATGTTTGCAGCCTGTTGACGGTAAAGATGACGAAGGATTTGGGTGTGTTTTATTTATTTATATATATATATATATATATATATATATATTAGTGCTGTCAAAATTATCGCTTTATTATCGCGTTAACGCAAGGCCATTTTAACGGCGATAATTTTTTTAACGTGAGATTAACGCTATGTGGTTTTATGGTACAATTTTCCAAGTACATCCCGCTGCAGCCTGCGGGAAGGCGGGGCTATTTTCCCCCAGTCTATGCATTTCTCATAGGCTTCGAGAGCGGAGCTCCTCAAGGGAAAAAGACGCTCATACACTGGGTGACGCTAGTGCCTTTTCTTTAAGCCCCACCACCAACAAACAAGTTGAGTGTCTGGTAACTAGTAGCAACCTGAAATACGCTGAGAAAACAGATTACTGAGGTGAAATGGAATCTGCTACGACACTCTTGCTGTCTGTGTACGCCACAGGTCGGTATCATGTGTGTGTGTGTGGGTGGGTGGCTGGGTGTGTGTGTGTTCTCATTTTTGTTAAGAGGCTGAAAAGTAACTTTCTAGAGCATAGACTACTTCCATCTAGTGATGTCGGTCTATTGATTTTTATGTATTGATTGAAAATTGTTCATTATTATCTTGGTTAATTGACATCTAATTTTAACTGTACTACATTTTATAGCAG